TAGCTAAATTTTGTGTATTATTTAACAAAGAACCGGTATTGTAGACAAATCGTAGTTTTGGAAACTTCGGTTTTGCGCGTATCTCAATCGGGTGACATGGAGGCTTCGATAGATCTAACAATCGGTTGTTTGACCGAAGTGAATATACTACTGATTAATCAGCTGATCCATGGTTTACATAAACCTAAAATCAAATCAAATTATTATTTTATCCTGTAAGCTAAACAATTTTAAAATTACATTGATTGTAATTGGACTTTTCAAATTTATATACCATGTTTATTTGACAGAATATAATAAATAATAATGATGCTTTTTTGATGAAAGTCTATCTATGTTTAACTGATCTTTCTGCAAATTACGTCACAACACTCAACATTCAAAAACGTACATCACAACTTTGAGACACCGATAAACAAACGCCCACACTGAGTCGTTAGATATTGTTCAGTATCAAAGACTTGACTACAAGATATTGGATACGTTAATACTTGTGGCCTGTGTGCCCTGCTAATGTATAACGTAAGGATACCGCCAATTAGAGAGCAGTGAATTATCGATCGGTCTAATGATTCATAAGACCCGTGCGAACAGTCTAGAGTATTTATCGGTCCCGCCTGTTAAGTCAAGAACACAAATCTCAGCCTCTGCAATTCGAATCACTTATTTCAAACATAGTCGGTCTATAAACCAACCAGAGAGACTACATCGCACCATAAAATAGGAAACAACATTTGTACAAGATTTAGCCAAATGTGGCTGTGAATAAGGGAGATAGTGATAGGTGGAGTCCAATCCGTGTCGGGTATGAGGCAGTTACCTAGTTGAAACAATGAATGAAGAGTTGCGCAAGATCATGGATCGATTAAAGTTAGACATTAACGTCGTTGGATACCGGCTCAATGGTCTAGAGATTAAGCGTTTACGCACGAGGTCGAAGGTCCAGAGTTTGAGTACTGCTTACGGCATCATGAGTGGTCACTGCTGAGGAGTCCCATACTAGAACGAAACGGTCATTCAGGGATTCCGGTTTTTAATAGTGGTCTAGCTTAGATTGACTTGTGTATTCAACTTTGAAAATGAATAAAAGATACAAGCTTGATAAAAAAAAATCAGTTTCAGTGTGATGTTTTTGAGAATTCCGGTTGAGCATTATGAGTCAGTCAGTCAGTCAGTCAGCTACAAAGTAGGACCAGGCACATATGTGCATCGGTTCAAGTTGCCTCTTAGTTGAATGGTTTAATAGTGAAGTCTTCGTTGCTCTTTTGAATGACATCGTCAACTCGTCCTATCAACTTTGATCTATGTTCACTATTGTTAACCTGCCTGGCATTTGTCATATTATTTCTTTATAAGGCTTATCAGAAAATTTGTGCGATTTTATGTAAGAATATCTCATGTTCAGCAGATTTAATCCATGTGTTTATTATTTAACGCTTGTAACTACCTGATTTATGCGTTTCTAATATGTTGATTATAGTTACGACATCATAGTTTGCTTTAGAATGCTATCCAATGTATTGCTCTTCAGAATAATAAATGATCATTCAAGATCTGAATCAATGAAGTATCAAAAAGTTCTTCAGAAAATCACTAACACTCCAATGAAACACATGGATTACTGTGTTCTGGATTGTCAACAGCTATTATGAAGACTTCGTTAGGAGTATTAATTCCTTTTAGTCAGTACGTTTTATATGATTTTGGTATAAACAAGTGACAAAGCAAAGAATATTAGATTAGCCATTTTATCCAGTAAATACTAAACCGTACGAAAACACTTGTGATATTATAACATTTCATGTTTAATGTCATTTCGTTATTCAAATAGACAAACAATAGTAGCCGTGTTTACACCAAGTAAATCAGTATTGAGTACATTCAGCATAATCAACATTAAGTAATTGGATTCATTTATAAAACGCCATAAATCGATATTTACTCCACCAAATATACGAACAAGGGTGTTCCGAATGTTTTTGAATTAGAATGATACCTAAACAAAAGCATTTGAACTGAATAAGTTGATTCATTAGTCCTCATAGAAGCTTGTGAGTAGTTAATACTAAGTTAGAAGTGGCAGGACAGATAATCAAACGAAAACAGAGGTATTTCATTGCTTGACTCAACAAAATGAAATCTGAATACAGCTTAGGTCATTTTTATGAGATAAAACCAACCAATCATAGGATGAATTAAAGTATCAAAAGAAACACAAGATATCAGTCCTGGAGTAAATATCAACTCTGGGATGCAGGTACATCCAGTCGACGAGTTTCAAGTAGGACGAAACGCCCATCAAACTGGATTCCATTGCTAGCCACCATTAATCCAAACTTATGATGCTTATGACTTAAGGCAATATCGAGGCGATCCGTACAAGATGTACATATACCAGTAAGAGACGGGTCAACTTCAGTCCTAAACATCAATGGGAAGATTCAAACAAATAACACAAAATGAATGTTCAAATTGACGGTAATCCTATGTACTAAATAAAAATGTGATAAGAAACAGTAAACACAATATTAAATCAATTAGCATAATGTTAATTACTGATTATGACAAAAGACTCATTGACAATCTAATTGTTGATTATGAATGCTATACAGTTACACTGAACCAGAATGAAATCAGTAATATACGAACATCTATTAAATTCCTTCATAATTAGTTAAAACAGAATATAGAGAGTAATTTTCAACGCAGTGTGTGTGAATCCATATTGTCATTTCTCAAATGCAGCCAATCGTACTACCAATGTACTACTCTACTTATCAAGACATGATATACAGGATAATTTTCTGCAATTGATTAAATGAGTTTTGAGTTTAATGCCCATTCACATGTATTTTCAAACTTTCTCTACATCATTCAATCACAGATCATCAAATAATGCCTATAAAAATTTTGTTTAATAGATGAATTCATGAGCCAATTGAAGCTAGATCACCATGGAAAACCTGGAAGCACTGGACGGCCGTTTCGTCCTATTGTGAGACTCCTCAGCAGTGCTCATACAAGATCACGCCTCACAAGATTCGAACCCATGGCCTATCGGTCTCGCGCGCGAACGCTTAACCTCTGAATCGGCATCGAACAGTGTTAATGTCTAACTTCAACGAATCTAGGAAATTGCGCGACCGTCCACCATTGTCTTCAGTGAGTTACCATTTCACAACAGACAAAGTTGAAATACACTGGCTTTTCACTAGAACGTCAAGAAATACATCTTGAAGCCGGTCATTACTAGCGAGCACATGATATTTATTATTAGATTGGGTGTTTTTGTGGAGCAGGATGGTGTCGTCATGGAGCTTTTATCGTTTTTCTGAACGATATCATCAAAATAAACTCAGCTCAGAGAACAAAACTCTATAAAAATCATATGTCCTTACGAAATTGATATTTAAAAAATTTCTTTTCAGATATGTATTCATGATTGTACAAATTGATTATAAATTTGTTAAAGAGGGATCTTCTTGTTGACCTTTGTGTTTTAAATGTTTAAATAGGTATTATATGTCGATTGAAGAAATGCAATGATCCTATGATGATGAAGGAACTCAATGAGATTTTTTACAATGTAACACAGTCAAACTTACATTAGTGAAATGTGAGATCAACTTTTCTTCGAAAGTTGTAGCAAAAGTAATGAGTATTCTCAACGTTCCTGAAAGGCACCAAGGCGAAGTCATATTTATCTCAATGCTAAAACCATCAAACTTTATGCACTTAATTGTATGGATGCTATTAAATCTCGAGAGAAAGCAACATACCTAGTATTCCTTGGTAACCAGTTTTCTTTAAACAAGATGCTGTTAATTCAAGAGGATGTTACCAAGTTTACAAACCATAATGAGAAAATAAGACAGCACAGATTGAAAAAATATATCTCAGGTAACTAATGTTATTAAAAATATGAAGAACAAGGGGATAATAAACCCAGACTTATGGCATAACATACGTCTAGTGGGTTCGATCCTTCCGCGTTTATTTGAATTATAGAAAGTATATAAACCTCGGTTACCGTGAAGAACTATTTTGGATAATTCTAGTTAGCCCTATCACTGAATCACCAAAATAGCTGTCTGAAAAATTGCAATCTCTTAGAAGACAAGTATCTAAATATTCTGTTCATGATAATTTTCAATTTCTTGATAGTATTAAGGATAATAGCACTTCCGGAAAGAACATAGACTGAAAACTACTATCCAAATCGTTTCATAGAGAATAACATGAAAAGAAGTCGGAACAAGGAATCTGGTAATTACCCTTCAAAAAATGAATCTGGAATTCAAAGGTGATCAAATTACTGATCTATCTAAAGTCGGTTAACAATAATGTTTCCTTACATGAGGAAAGTCAGTCAATTCATTTGGTTTCGCACAAATTAAACAATCAACTAAGTAAACAATAATGACAATTCTGTGTACATTTTGCATTTAGGTAAAAGACTACTAATGAGTAGCTAAAATATTCTCACTAACGTCTGTGGGACTCAATTATCCAATCTGATGAAATGGTAGGAAGTGGGATTTTGAGAATCAACACACACTCAGCAAATTCATTATCTTAACCTAAACAATTGTACTTGATTAAATGTCAAATACAAACGTTCACCTAAAAAGAATGTTACATAATTATCGAACCATTATGTAAGAGACATAGCTTTCAATTCAAGAGATCATCACTAAAATCATAGTTATTCAACGTATTTTGTAAGCGTTTAGCTTCTTGACGGAGTTTTGTTCTCGAACGCTTCACTTCCATATGAACTTTGTACTGATAATGTCGTCCAGAAGAACGATCAAAGCTCCAACATCAAACCATTCAGCTCAGAGAACAAAACTCCATCAAAATCATCCACCTGAGCTACAAATCTTCTCTTCGCCTTTAGCTTCAGAATCACTCACTTCGGAAATTCTCAAACTATTCGCTGTTAAATATATAAAACAAAACTAGACGAAATAATGATCGATTACTTAAAGAATTTATTTGCAGGTTCAAGTATAAATGAAGGTTCATTCAGAAGGTATCAATTAAAAAGGTTTGATTTGTTAATTTCCAATTACAGATATATTATTTTATTTACAGATTGATTCAGTTCAAGATTACTAGCGAGTGTGAAAAAGAACATGTAGCGAAGTCAATATGGGGAGGAAGCAAAAGATTTGGGTATGTTACACAGTCAAACAAAGTAGAAAGCAACTGCGTTAATATTGTCAATATTCACAATTCATAGATTCCAACGCAATTTCCGACCATTACATCCATCATTCCACCATCGTGCCACACTCGGAACCCAATAGGGACCAAATGAATGAGATGTATGAGCTAGTAGACACATTGCACATTGAGGTTGTGAATCCCGATCATGTATGATTCCATGATCATGCCATGCAAAATATTCATTATATGCAGTATCGTTCTCGTCCAAATACTTCAAATAGTGTGCCAGTTTAGCTGGTGATTCGAATTGATCAACGTGAATGAACGAGTATGGAGGAGCGACTCTTTCATATTCCTCTATCGACGCACCCATCACAATTGGAAGTAGATCGTTTCTTGAAATGAATAAAAAGTATGATAATCCGTCAAACATTGATCTAAACATCAATTTACAGTTTATTCAACAACAACAAATTGCATATTCAGTAGAAAATAGAATTCATGATATCAGCACTTTGGTAAAAATAATGTCACATGACAATCATGAAAAATATAACCTTTTCCTCAAAAGCTCTGGAGATTACGCAAACCAACAGGGTTACACTAGTCTGGTTGTCTGTTAAGTGTTGAATCCTATTGCTCAAACTAGCCGAAAAATAAGCTATTAAAACGTACCAGTTTGAATTGCAGATATCATTTGGTACTCCTCCTATCAAACCACTTTTATAGGTGATATGATGACGCAAAATTGGGCCTGACAATACGATCGTTATTGGTTGAAGCTTCAGTGGTCCACGGCTTAAGCACATTAGTTCTTATTTTTCAAGAATTCCGTCCTTCTGGACAGTGGAATTATCTTTGATATAGAGTCAACTAGGGTTTAAGTGAGTAATAATATGGCCTTTTCAGAAGCCATCGCATCGCTACATCGTTTCACTGCGGTCATCCGGAATTTACTCACCGATCTCAACAACCAAAGATTCGCTCCTCAATTCATTGAAAACCTTTCCAATATCAGCGACATAGGGATCAAAATCGTCTGTCAAAATATCAATTCCTACAGATCAATGGAATTTATTATGCATGCAGTTATTGATGTTCTACATAGAAAATATTGAAATACTTTTTAATGAATTAAAAATGTGGACACTACTCACGCGGTATTGAATCAGAATGAAATACAGTACAGTGGGAATGATGAGTTATGGATGGAGATCAATGTTCATGCAATAATGTAGTGGTCAAAGTCAATGATATATACATAACAAAGTCTATGGACAGTATTGAAGTCATTGCCAATTCGAACTCAGTCAGAATTTCCGAGAAAATTTCTTCAATTTCAAGACCAGAACCTTCAATTTTGGTTAAACGACTTTCAAATGACTTTACGATATATATGCCAAATCAATTCTCACTAGCTGCACATCAAATTATCTTGTAACAACCATTGATGATTTCAGTTATAGAACGTTAATACTTCAGATACACATGGCTTTATCAATCACAACGTAGACCCAATGCTCAACTTAAAGAGAATTAAAGTGAATTCTTTCACATTAATCATTAATTGAATTTATTTATTTTTTCCCGATTTTCACCCATTATTTCATCCATTCATTTATAAAAGTGATTCTACTTTGTTCTGTTCTATAATAAAACATGTTTATTAATGATAAATTTGTGGATCGGTTGAAGCTAGACATCAACACAGTTGGATACCGGCTAAATGGGTTGCAGGTTAAAAGTTCGCGCGTGAGACCGAAGTTCATGGGTTCGAGTCCCATGTGCGGAATCGTGGAAAGTTCCGTACTAGGACGAAACGACTGCCTGGATTGATCGATTCATGATCTCAATCAATAATTCATCAATCTTCACAAGCTCATACTTGTAAAAATTATTGGAAATGAACTCACAAGAGAAACGGATTCTGTGATTAAATCAATTATCTCTTTACTGAATCGTTATACTGAAATCAAGTATCACTTGTAAGTTAGCTAGAGGAAAATGCATGATAAAATGTTCTAACAGTAAAACGTTTATGTTTATTTATAATTTCAAACAGTGATATTGTTATATTGCATTATTATGTACTCATCAGTGACTAATCTATTGAGATATTTCCCTAAGTTGTAGTGAAATTTAACCACATTTGGTTTGAGGCGGTTACTTCTGAAGATAATGAAAGATGACTATGCAATATCACGAGTTGGTTGAAATTAGACAAGTTGACCATTAAATACTAGTAGAATACTCTAAAGATTAAGCGCTCGTAGAGCGACATGAGAGTTCTGATTTCGATCACCTGTGGCGGTGAGGTCGTGGATATACACTGTTTAAAAGTCTCACATTAGCATCAACCAACTGTCTAATAGTTCCTAGTTTTTCAGCAACACACACAATTACCCATCAAATTAATCTGACAACTAATTATTAGCAATACTTCATTATCCAACTATAGTTATTTAAGGTTATTGTCTTTTTCTTGATAATAATCCACTGTAATAACACCCTGATTGATAGTTTAATATACACGAAGAATTAGCAGTACTGAAAGAGTATCATTATTTTATTTAATTGATTATTTTATTATATGAAGACTATATAAAACTTTATTATTGTAATTATCACATCTTTATCTAATCACTGACTTACTTCAATGCATTCTTATAAAGTTTCTCAGTGATATACCAACTGCATAAACTATTTTCAAAACTCAGATAAAATTTGTAGTTCTGACGAATCAATTTAAAACAGTCAGGTAACAAAGGATCATTTATCAAATTCCTAGAACATACTTTTGTACCACACTTGCCATATATATCAACCTGTAAATAAAAGAATTCAAAAGTTATACTAAGATCATTCAATATGTTGTAAACTACAATATCATAAATGATCATTTGATCCAATCAGTTACAAAAAAGCACTTGTTAAAACATTATTTCACAGGACCAAAAAAGTATTATGTAATTCTGATACATCACAAAAGGAACTAATGAATGTGAGTAGATGTTTAAAGAACAACGGGTACCCAGTGAAGCTTGTTGAAAAATATGCTAAACATGAAGATAAAAAACCCAAAGAAACTACAGTAAACAAAGGTGATGATATCACAGGGTCAATCAGTTTGAGACTAAAACCTTCATTGACAAGAATTTATCTTACAGCTAAACTGATTGTCCTGTCCAAAGTAACATTTTCTTTAACACAATCAAAGTTCCATAGGCATCCCTTTCATATTACCACCAACTGTGTATACAAATTTCTATGTATCTGCCAAAGCGGGTACATTGGTAGGACAGAAAGAAGAGCCTACTGCAGATTCAAAGAACATAATCCGAAAAGTCTAAACTCAAATGGATTAAAAGCATTCAATGGTGCCATCTCAAAACGTTTCCTTGATAGAGAACATCAAGTCGATACACTAAAGTCATTCAAGGTGATTAATAATCGACCAAACTCCAATCTTCTGAAATTTACTGCAACGACAGCGATCAAACGTCTAAAACTAGATCCACCTATGCAAAAAGAAATAGTAAAAAATCTTTCTTTGGCCTGGTAAAATTTCATCCTTTTTTATTGCATCATTCATTATTTCAACTCTTTCTGAAGTTTGGTTACATGATTGTCATTTTTCCTCAATTCATATCTTTCTTTATTTCCATTAGTCTATTTTCAGTTGCTTCATTACATAATCATCTAATGTTTGTTAACTGTGAGTTCTAATCTCTATTATAATGTTTTGGAACTTTCGCTCTCAAACTTTGTTTATTTATCTGAAACAAACAATTTTTTAATGACCTCATTAACTCTATTGAAATCTTCACTACATCATAATATACTAGTGACTGGCTTCAACAGGTATTTTCTGGAATTCTAGTGAGAAGCAATGACCAATGAAGTTCAACCGAGTGTGTTGTGAGAAAGTAACTCACTGAAGAAAATGATGGGTGTTTTGCTCGATTTCGTGGATTGGTTGAAGCTAGATATTAACACCGCTGGATGGCAGCCAGCTCAGCAGTCTAAAGGTTAAGCGTTTGCGCGCGGGACCGATAGGTCCTAGGCGTGATCGTGAATGTGCACTGCTGAGGAGTCCCACAATAGGACAAAACGGCTGTCCAGTGCTTTCAGGTTTTCCTTGGTTGTCTAGCTTCAATTGACTCATGAGTTCAATTATTGAACTCATATTATTCTGCACAAATCTTCCTTCTTGCTCTCTCTTTAAGATAATCAACGGTGTTATGTGTATGAAATTAACGTTTTGTAATAGATGAATGATTGATCTACATAAAATAAGAAAACTCTATATTGCCTAGTCTGATTTCAACTAGCTAGTTTACTTTACTTATATTAATTTTCAGTATAGGGGTTGTGGAGATTATTAAGTTTTTGATTAACATCATGAACTGAGTGATGTTAGACCACCATTAAAAACGTGGAAGCACTGAACTGCCATTTCGTTCTATTGTGGAACTCCTCAACAATGTGCATCCACGATCCCGCTCGGGAGGTTCGAACCCAAGGCTTTCAGTTTCACGCGCGAATGCTTAACCTACTGAACCACTGAGCCGGCATCCAATGGTGCTAATGTCTAGCCTCAACCAATCCACGAAATTTCGCGACAATCATCCATTTCACTGAAGAAGATACCTGTCTCTACCCGACAACGATTGGCTCCACTGGTCATGGCTTCTCACTAAACCTCCGAGAATTCCCTTACGAACCTAGTCACTAATGAGCACATGAAAATTATTAGTATTAATTCATTTTAAAATTTACCTATAATCATAATACAAACAGAGAATAAAATTGAAAGATTCCCTTTTATAATGATGTTTTTCTTATAAATAAATTCGAAATTGATACGTTAGTTTATTTTACTTGACCAATTCTTTATGTATTTCTTAATGTTAATAAATTATTAAGTGGATATTGTTATGTTTTCTTCTTTTCACCTTTACCTTGATTTGTTTATATTCTTATTGTTTTTATTGTTAATCACCATGGTATTCAAATGTGCCCAGTTTAATTTCCTATATAATAGGTCGGAATAATCAATAATAATAAAATATACACATTAAACTTACATTTCAACTATACACCCTACTTGTATGGAACTCTTTATATATCATGACTTTAAATATTCACTCTTTCTTATTGAGTTTATTATTATCATTATTATTATACTGAATTAGTATAAATTCCTTTGATATTATTAGAACGGAGGTTTCATGGAGATTGTAGTAATTTCAACAACTGAATTCATGAGTCAATCTAAGCTAGGTCATCATTGAACGCCTGGAAGTAATAGGACTGGTGAGTAGTGCGCATCCACGATCCCGCATGTGGGATTCGAACCAGAGACCTAAGGCCCCACGCAACAACGCTCAGGCTCTAGACCATTGAACCGGTATTCAAAGGCATTCATGTCTAAGTTCTTTGATGCTAATAAATAGAGAGTCTATTCATGATAACTTTCATTAGTAGAAATGTTCGCTTAATATTTAAACTGCTCATATGTTTAGAAGGGGTTTGGTGGAGGTTTTATAAATTTCACGAGTTGAAATCATCAGTCAATTGAAGCTAGACCACCATGGAAGACATAGAAGCACTGGACGGACGTTTCGTCCTAGTATGAGACTCCTCAGCAGTGCGCATCCACGATTCTAAGTCAATATTTAGTAACTAATATTCAAAAAATTGACTAGTGCATTTTCATGTCGCATGTGTTTGAATGCACTGTGTCTATTTGATATCCTTTTATCATTTTGAATTCACTTCTCAAACATTCACCGTCTGTGTCAAGAAATCATGATTGTTTACGAAACTAAATGGATCTACGTCTTTCAATTAACAAAGTAAAACGTTCGTGTTATTCGAAGCTAAATTGCATAACACTTACCGAGATATATTTTGAAAGTTCCTCAGCATATTGTAGTCTAGGACTTTTAGCTGCACAGTTACTCACAAACCATGCTACTTTTTTCGATTTGCCAGCAGCAAAATTTCGAGAAGGCAGAGGATATCTTGTTTTTGGTCCATGATACTTTAAATACGGTTCATAGTAACCGTATGGTGAATAAATCGTTGAATCAAAACGATAGGATATGGTAAAGTTAACCTGAATATCAGTAACAATGTTTAATGAAAGTGCCTAATGCCATACGTATTAAATAGTAATAATAATAATAATAATAATAATAATAATAATAATATTGTATTCAGAAAATTAGTACAGATTACACACTGATGTAAAAGAATGATCTGGCTGATACAATTCCCTAACACTTTCTAGAAGAAAATGAACTACAAATTATTTCAAAGTGAGGATTTTCTATAACTCTAATGAAAAGTGGAGAATTCTGAGTAAAATGAGTACATTACAATATCAGTATTCGTTTACATTTCATAGCAAAACAGGTGTAGCAAGCATAAAGTTTTCGTTACTATACAAACAACTGACAGTAATATATAGATTTACCAATCAGTTGGTGCACTGTAAGTAGATAATGATTATTATTACTAATTCATGATATTATATTTGATTCAATGATTAATTATTAACATTTGGAACCGAATCATTATTAGAAAGTGATTTTGTCGACAAAAACCATTAAAGCAAAGTACAATTCTTATAGACACATAGGGACAAAATGTACAGATTTACACATATCACTTACTACGGTTAGACAACAAGTGAAAATTGGCAGACATTCAACAATTATTTACTCCAAGCATGTAACTCCACAGAAGCATTTACCCGCGACCAGACCAAGGATCAAACCGAGCATCTTCCGGACTCTCAGAGATCATTCATTATTCAAACCACTGAGTTTCATTTCATTGGTTTGCATTTCTAACTTCAGCTAGTCAGACAAATCGCGAGCTCATCATCTGTTGTCACTTGTAACATTTGCTTCGCTCCCAACATGATTTAACTCCAGTCATTCCTACAAGAACCTAACGAATCACGTATTGCAGTTAACTGTAAGAAAATGATGATCATTAATCGTTTTCAAGGCGTCTGACTGAAGTCAGTCTGTGACGTTAAACTGCAAACTTCACAATCTCTACAACTCTTTGGAAATCAATGACAATGTCACCTACAAATTCCGGAGTTGTTAAATTAGTAAAACCTTAAACTCAGGTAAGATTTACGTTAAATTATGTGATTACTTTTAGTCAGGATTATAAACATTGTTCGTTAGAAATGTCATAATTACATTATCAAGTAAACTATGAACACTGAAACTGTAAAATAACACTATGTAGCCAAATCAAAGAAAAAACTATTGTAAGTCTATGTTTATTTTTAAAGTGAGAGTATCTGATAATTCTAAGAATTACATCGATCGCAGTTTATGATTTTGTAAAACAATGCGTTGTGTTTCTGTTAAAACTAGAACAATCGATATGAATGAGATAGTAGATTTGTAGCTCAGGTGAATGATTTGGGTGTAGGTTTGTTCTCTCAGCTGGATGATTTGCTTACAGAGCTTTCATTGTTCTTCTGAACAATATCATCAGTACAAATTTCAGATATAAGTGGAGTGTTCGAATTTCTCTACATATGACACACAGCTTATCCTGTCGAACTCGATCTTGATTGATTGTTATTGACCTTTAACCTGTTACTTTGTACTTTATTGTTTTGGTTGTATCGCTTATTTGTTTGACCAAACTATTCAGCTCAGAGAACAAACCTCCATCAAAAATGAATGTTAATTCTATATCAGTGATCGTTAACAGCGATAGTACAATGAGAAGAGAAAATTTGAAACTTCGGGAACAATTTAAGAAATAAATAAATATATATATAGCCAAAAATCAAAACACATGAAGTCACAGATTCAGATTATAATCCATTCGATTTGATCTAGTAAACAAGGTAGTAGGATCCACGCTGAAAAAGTGAAGTAAAATGACAAAGGTACGAATTCGTACTTGTTTGTAGTTGTTTAAATTTGTAACTGGTTGGAATTTAACTGATATTCACCCGGTGTTTAAAATGACAGTATTCCTCTACATTCATTGCTTCTTGTTATACGAATTCATTCAGAAACTGTTCATTCGGATAACGTATCTATCAACAGACATATCAAAATCGAATCAGTCTATCAATCAGCAAGGAGAGGGATAGATAACTATAAGGTTAATGAACAGATCAGACGTGAAAACAACAATTACATACCTATGGACAACAGTCAATTGAATTCAACAGAACAAGCAGGTAGTCAATGATGAAGAAATGTTAAGTAGTCACATACCTTAAAGTATGTTTTGATGACATAGTCCAGAAAAACAATGAAATATTTTAAGGATTAAACCATTCATCATGAAGAATGAAATCACTTCAAAAGTCTTCGGAGCCTTATCAATCTAATGCATTGACAGAACACATTTAAGTTGTTATGATTTTATGTCCGGCTTTTTATCACGTGACCGATCCACCTATCAAAATACGACTTATACAATCTTCGCACTATGCTAAACCAATGACGTTCGACCGGTATGAGCAGTCTAGCGTCCTTATTGGTCCTATGTCCGTCTAGCCCGTCCGCCTCACTCCAAAACACAATACCAGCTTCTCCAATGTGAATCATTTATTCCAAACATACTCGGTTTATATATCAACCAGACAAACCACAACGTACCATAAAATAGAAAATAACATGTGTACACAATAGAGCCAAAACGTGGCTGTGAATGAGACAGATAGTAATTAATAGACAGGCCATAACTCAAGAATGATAAATCGTATAGTAATAGTCTATGGGTCAAACTAAAGCTTATAACAAGAAGAATATAAATAGACACAATCTAATTATTGAATAATTATATAATAAGAATATTTATGGAATGTTAGTCTATTAATAGTCCTCTGAAGTTACCCGTAATTCAATCTTCACTGGGATATAACATAAGTAGTGTTGATTAGAAATTATTTTTCTGATATTCTATATATTCGCCTGATGCATTAATGATTATGACTGAAGTCAACATGAATTAGTGACTCTTTCAGTTATACTCTTAGTAATTGTCTAATTAAATTCAAGCAATAATCATATCAACATGTTGATAATTTTGACTTGAAGACATTTCATTCAGTAATTGAAACTAATTAGATAACCCAACGTTAAGAGTTAATTCATTTGAATTTGCTTAATGGTACTTAACCATGGTGCCTAATAAGGGATGGGATGCATTGGTATGAGTGAACACCATTATATCTTGTTCACACTGATAACTTTCACAGCAATATATAGTAGATCTTAATTTCCTGAATAGATCTGTTGTCGATTTCATATTTCTTTATCAGATTATTGAAACATTCATCGTAAATCAATGGAATAATATGAACCATCATAGAATGTATACAAGTCAATAGATAAATGTGTGTACAAAAAGAATATTGGATGATCAATGAAAGAGTTTTCAATAGAGCTTTTCCTATTTCTATAAACAAATTAAACTAATACAAACTGCTGTTGACGTTTTCCACTATTAGTTTAATTTGTAATAATGAAGTGTTATTAAACTATTTTAAGAATCATTATCTATAAACTGAATCACTATACTATGATTACGTTTTAGTTATTCTATATTATAAGTTGTACAATATGTCTCACTTCATTTTCTAGTGTGTTTGCCAATGATATATGTTTAGGAGATTCATGTGTTAGACTAAACCATAATTGTCCATTTGGTCGAATTCCATTTGGTTGTTCATCTTTTGTTAAAATAAGTGCATCAGCTTCACGCCATCTTTCCATTCCGGTGATAAGTGTACATTTTGAAGCATAACATTTAGAAAATTTCTTTGGTATATAAATTTTCTGAGATCCATAGCTGAGAAATGTTTTCACCTAATATGCAAGAAAAATAGTAGTATGTGGTTCATGTCTATATTGTCACATGTATTCAATGTTTCAAAAGATGGTGTGAATGAACATCCTAATACTGATGTATACATAATATAGCTTCATCAATCAATTGTATTACTGAAGTACATCTATCTCAGTCGTAGTTCAGTCACTAAGACTGTATTCAGACGAATTCAGTTTAAATTTGCTGCCTAAATATCTCTTTATATATTACAGAGATGTTGGTTGGATTTTATACCTTACTAAAATATTCCTATTACAATGTAAATGTAGCTGATTTTTCTACTGTTTCAACTAATATCTTCCAATGAAATTTACTTTGAAATATATATTACATTTTATGATTGTGAATACAATCATCTTGAGTACTATTAGAGGTATGAAGGTGGTTTTCACTTCCCGGTTGCCCACACCGTGGACGAGTTCTTTTAGAGGTACCTGAAGAAGAAATGGGGTTGGACAAGGTCTAAGTGACCTGAGAGCATAATCACAGTGCCCGAGGGACAACTGCATGAGGTCGGTCACACACAACCTTTTTGTGAGTAATTTTCGTGTTAGCTCAGGACTTGTTGTGATCTTACCGCCGGAGACGGATATCCGTATGGTAAAGCAAGGTGTGTATATTTAGGGTCGACCTCTTTTAACCCTACCCTTCCTTGTGGGAAGGCAGCATCGCTGTTATCCTGGTTGTCTGAAGGAAACAATTCACCACCATCACATCTCTGTACAAACAACAGTACGAATTCGCACTCATACTTTGAGTTTGCTGCTTTTAGTCCTACCGTTCTTCAACCGACCTCTCTGGCATCGTAAGGCCTTCAGAAACGATTGTTCCAACCAGTATAGCTAGGTTGGTTCATCAAGATAAGCAAGCTTGACCACCATATCAAGGTAGCAGCAACGTTGTAGCTGACTGATAATTACGTATTTTTCCCCAAATTATGTTAAGATATCTTGAATTGTGACGTTGAACAATTGGAATAGAAATAGTAACTTATTGAATATTCTAGATGAAGTGTTACAATCAAGAGGCGAAACCGCTGTTATTCAACTTGAAGGTTTCATTAGTTCGGGAGGTAGTCTCAGTTTGCATAGAAGAGAGAGATCGCTGTAAAATACTCCAAAATGGAGTTACAGAGTAAACCTATAAAGACCATTATCATTTAATCTCATTGTTTTTTTAATAAACATTTTCATATATCAGTGTTAGATCCTCATTTCTCATTGGACAATATCTTTATTAGAAACAAATACATTGTGAGAACAAGCAACGTAAAATATGATATCATTAGATTCATTAGGAATTAATGAATCATTACGATCATCAGCATCCCATATAACATCATAAGAAATTTGACCAGAAACTGATTCATTTGAAACATTTGTGCCATAATGATTTTCGATTTCACTTGATGTGGCTAGATACTTAGAATGTGTGGAACCTGATAAAAGAACATTTGAACATTGGGTGGAGTTTATCTTATTGCTGCAGTAAATGTATCAGTTATCTCGTTAAATAGATCTATAATTTTTGAGTTCGATTCCGGATTTAATTGTTTGAGCATGTATTCCTTCAATATATTGATAAGCGTTAAACGGGATTTAATAACCACATCTTCATCAAATTGAAGCATTGATTTTAATTCTTACATTTTGTAACTGCAGCATTTGTTGTAAACATGATTTAATAAAGAGCGAAAGTTTATTTATAACCAAAAACAGAATTTAAGGGCAAATAGAGTTGACTGAGTTATAACTGGAACTAGATAGTTCAATGGTTATGACTGTTTGTTATCCGACATCACCGTCACCACTTGTCATATCCGCATCAGTTATTACTTATACTCAAAAGAAGGAACCACTACAATTTCCACGAGGCAAAAGTAAGAACATGGAAGGCTGATACAAGCAAAGATTTACTAACTCTAAAACACGACGACAACCCTAATAGAAAATGAACTCATTTATATATTGATTTGTATAGATATTTGATCATAAGTTAGTAAACAAATGTCACATATATGTAATTATAACAAAGTCGCACATTGCATGTCGTGCTGAAAATAGGTTACGTCAATTTAATGCAAGAACATCGTATCTTGAATAAACTTCATACTGAAGTCTATATTTTATTTATTTGAACATAAATATTGGTACAAAGGGGCGACGAATACATATGCACCACACGAGTCACTTGATTTGTGTGTGGGTTATGGTACTTCCTGGGTGCCCAAACCGAGGCAGGTGTTTTGCTTAGGGTGCCACACCCGGCCTGATCCACAAAGAAGTGGAGCAACTTTAGGAGATGCAGTCCCATATTCGTTAGTGACCAATAATTGGTTCATACGCCATTTATTCCCTTAGAGTCCTGGAGCCCATGTACACCACTGGTTTGTAATCAGGGTCTTCCAACTCCCTTATGTGGATCTTCCATATACACCGACCCCGGTTAAAGGAAATCCTCTGAACTTTGTCGAGATCATTTGCAATCGTCTCAGCAGAATGCATTCAAGACTTGGTGAAAATAAAAAGCAAAAAAACGAATTCCACATATACTCTGATATATCATCAAACTTCTCGAGTCAGAAATCTTAGTATATCATAATACAATTGAAGACATGCTAGAAAAATACAACATCTATGCCTGAACAAAGATCAATTAGCAGTCAAACGCCATGACATATTCTCAGTTATAACAATGCATTTGAACAACTGTGGACACACATTCGACTGGAAAAACGGTGAGATATTGGAGAGACAATTCTAAAAGTACCAGAGAGTTTTTAGAAGCTTGACACTCAGTTCAATCAGCAATCAACAAACACATTGAAATCTGTCAAAACCATCGACCAATTAGAATAGTCATGGACAAATATAGGATCAAGAATCAAATTAATGGCAGATAAAACCAAATTAAAGAAGTAGGCAATGATAGGATAAGGATCAACGACAATCAATCAACATCGAGCTCGACAGGATAAGCTGTGAGTCATATGTGGAGAAATTCGAACAATCCACTTATACCAGAAATTTGTACTGATGATATTGTTCAGAAGAACAATGAAAGCTCTGTAAGCAAATCATCCAGCTCAGAGAACAAACCTACACCCAAATCATTCACCTGAGCTACAAATCTTCTCCATCATCTCAAATACAACAGTATATTCAAAAAAGCTGAATAAATAGAAATAGTACCATTCTATTTAGAGCCAAAACAGATTTCTATTTCTTTTATTTCAATGGTCAACTTACTGAATTATTTTTACTTAATGAGTCATATAATCTCTTCAGTCTGTTTTCTTCTACATCAAATCTCAGAGAGTGAATTTGAATGGAAGTTTCATTAATAGTAGAATACATTTTGTGCAATCTCATAGCCAGGTTGAACTCTGAAGAGTTTGAAGTAAATATATTTCCATCAATCAGTTGCATATTATCTGATAAGAATGTGTAACTTTCATTGTATTTACCATGATAGAGTAAACTTGGTGAGATGTTGATCAACCATATGATGAAAAGGGCAATGAGTATGAAGCAAATGGCTTTAATTCTAAGAGTCCATTTATCACGTTGCGCAATCATAATGTAAATGCCAACCACGTCAAACCCCTATGAGATAATTCAGTATAGATACAAAAGATGACAGATAAAAGTATGATGAGAGTATGTTAAGTAATAAATTTAACAAGTTAAATTAGTTTCACTACTAGCCAGGATGGATTGATCACTATAACTAGATGGTCAGCCAGTCAGTAATAACCATGATTTACTACGCGTTATTCACGAACAAAACCCATGGTTCCTTCGTTTGACAGAAGATCAGATGGAGAGCATTTGCTCTTTACTGATATAGGAAGCTGCAGCTTTTGTAATAACCGATCTTGTCTACGGAACATTATGAAAGCGAATCATCGCACAGTAGGTCTGCAGTATGCATTGGAGTGTGTTCAAATAGTCTAAACTTCCGGGTTTGTTCAATAGTTTTCATAATGTTGACTAAATGGGTAGTTTTGGTCACTTCGCAGTGTACAACATCAAGCTGGGAGACAAAGGACAGACTCTGTAATGCTTTTTCTTCTGTCAATACAATCAGAAGAAAATAACTTGCCAGTTTACAAACATCACAGGAATTGACGGTACTCATGAATCCTTTAAAGAACGAATCTCAATCTACTAGTTGGTGGCATTGGATACAGTTACTGTGTTAGCATTTGCGTGCATAGTCCATGCAACATAATAACACTGTTAACTGAATAAGTCTCTATGAAATACGGCGGGTGTCGTATCACTTTATCATTCTATTAAAGCTTGTTAAGATTTATGTAACATTTTATTTTACTCAGCTGTAATATATTCTTTTCAGTTGATAACGTTTCTATTATAGTACCGATTCGTCAAACCAAATTAATTATCCGCGTGTCATGAACTGAATATATTCATTTAAAATATTCATAAGGTGTGAGGTAACCTTCCGAAAGCATTCTTACACTTCAGTGATTATTACATGTTATAAGCCCAAATTATGCTTACTATATATATTTAACGACAAAGGCTTATCCAGTATAAAAATTCATCTTGAGTGTGAAACATTGGTATGGCAAAACAGGGACAACGAAGTCTGAGACAATTAATGAACGTTATGTAAATTAGGTATTAAAGTATGATTTTTCTATTACATTAAGTAACTCTGTATTCTCATGCCAAGTATGATTCGATTGTCCTTACCTGTGTTCTCCTTCATTACAATATATTTAGTAAATATGTAACATGTCATTAGACTACTTGTATGTACTTAAATTGTTAGTACCATGTTTCTGAGTAAACATTCTATTAGGAATTCATAAAATACAATTATTTACAATATCATGTTTATTAATTCTATACTATTTTAGGTCAATTTTTTTTAAGATTTCGAGTACCAAGTTGAAGGTGACCTTATTAACAAAACAGTTTTCATGAGAAAAGAATTGCACAATGAGTCAAATAAACTGAATTCTAAGGGCTAGAAAAGTTCAAACTTTTGACACACATATAGCATTCCTGTGTCAGTCAGTCAGTCAATCAGTAACAACGTGGAACTTCATTTGTACCCATATCAGTTCGAGTTGACATACAGAGATGCAGTTGTCGACTTAAATCCCATAGTGTTAGAGGTGGTAGGAGTGTAAGCAGTAATCGGAAAGATTAGGGTTCGAAGATGTTATTCAAGGAGTTGCTATCGTGTCGTGGATTACAACCAGTTAGTCTACACTTACCAACTCAACTCAGCCCACTTGTCAGTGACTTCATGGATTTGTACCATGTTTTGGTCTGGCCACCTGTAACTTTCTTCCAACCTACTCATACACCATAAAACATCAGTCGTCGTGGCAGTCGGTGGTTGGGAATACGTAACACGTGTCCCAGCCATCTCAACTGATCAAGTTCCACTACTTACTCATCAATTGATTTGCCATCCTCACCTAGTACCCGTTTCCTAACAACTGCATTAGTTACTCGGTGGTCTCAGGATATACGAGCAATGTTTCGAAGACACCTATGATCGAATACTAGTAACCTACGAATATCCTCTACACTTACTGACCATGTTTCACTGCCATGTGGTAGGACGGGACGAACTGCTGCTCAGTAAACCCGTCCTTTGGTTGATAGAACGATAGCTCGCCTACGCCATAAATGACGCAAGTTAGCAAAAGCCAGTAGAGCGTTCTGAATCCGTGCTGAGATTTTGTCACACACCAGACCACAAGTGCTGATAAGACGCTTGTGTACAGTTGTTCAGTTCAAAGAACGATTAACAACTGAAGTTATGAATATCTTAGTGAATGGTAATAGTCTGGACCAAAGTTTTCGATGTGAACTGAATGATAATATGACAGTTATTGATTAATAAATGATTTAATCCACCCATAATGTCTATTCCTTTCCAAACTACATATAACATAGATGACACCAATGAAGGATGATGTATTAATTAGTCAAATATATTTGTACTAAAGGGCACCGGATACATATGCACCACACGAATCACTTGATTTGTGTGTGGGTTATGATATTTCCCGGGTACCCAGACTGAGGCAGGCCTAAAGGCCTGATTCAACAGTCAATGGGGCAACTTCAGGAGATGCAGTCCCATGGTAGCCAATGACCAACGATTGATTCGTACTCCATCTGTTCCCTCAGGATCTTGGAGCTAATGTGCAAAGTTGGTTTGGAATCAGGGTTTTCCAACTCCCTTAAGTGGACTCTTCGTGTCTACCAACCCGGTTAAAGCGCCGGACATTCGCTTTCCGTCCTTTGAATTTCGTAAACAAAACCCGTGGTGCGAGAACGTAGTGTGTAAGACTTTTGTGGTAATGACTGTATACGCGTGGTCATGTGAGAGCATTTCGAGTGAGGAGCTAACTCTGCCTACCTTCGGCCTTACCAGAGCATCTAGGGGCGCATTTTGGATAAATTTTAAATCAATTGACTCACGTTCATGTCAGGCACAAAATCTAACATTTGAGCAAGATTGAGCGACAATTTGAATAGGTTTGTTTTCAGTAATAATTTATCTGTTTGACCATTTCCCTTAAAAATCTAAGATCAGAATCTCATAGAAGACGCTGTAATTATATTTAATTCGTTGAAAATGTTTTGAATCAAGTTTTACATATCATGTCTACGGATTGATTTCGCTAATATTTTGCTGACCATGCTGAGATAACCGGACTAAAGCTGAATATTAAAGTTATAGAAGCGTAGACAAAACTCTATTCTATTCAACCTGTTGATCTTCCTTATCTGTAACAAGATTAATACTTTTGTTAATTAAGTTTTTACAACTGAGACTTTTGTTCAAAACGCATGAGCCAAACCATAATCTAAGTATCTGTCGGAATATGTTAATTTCCTGAAAACAATTATTTTCAACTTATTATTATGTCTTCGTACAACTAAACAATCGACAAACGCTAGTTTGTGGTCACTGGATTTTACTTCCTTTGTTAGCTTAATGCTCTTCGAAATGCTGTTTATATTTTCAAACATTCCGTTTAATGATAATAAAAATATCATCTAATAACCATGACCGAACTGTCGGCGGACACACACATCTTGTGATTGCATTGGTTTCTATGGAATGCATGAAAAAATTTGCTACAATCGGAGAAACTGGTGAACGCATTGCTAAACCTTCTTTTTGCCTGTAAAGGTCGCCTCGAAATGTGAATAAGGTGGATCGTAAACATAAGATTAGTATCAGTGAAAGTTAAGGATAGGTTCCCAGAGGAAGAACAACAGAATGTTGACTATGAGATCGACTGTTATGATTGTAATTCAACTTATATGGGAAAAGCTTCCAGACAATTGAATGGGAGGTTGAAGAAACACAAACAATGTTTGGAACATGTTCCCAAATCCTTGGTTGATCTGAAGAAACTTGAGAATAGATTGGCAATAGCGCAAAAGATTAATTTCTAGGGGATCAAAATACTTCAGTATAGTTTTAACACTCATAAAGTAAGAATGACAGCAGAAGCGTTGTGAATATGGACGAACAAGAAGTGAAAGGATAGTATTCAACTAGCAAATATTCGTTAACATGTAACTGAACCCCTTCTCTTTCCAACCTGTTTATTTCACATATATTGTTATTCTGACTGAAATTAATGTAGATTATTTTGGCAACAAAATTATTTATTTGATTTTTGTTCTACATGCACTTCAATGATTCAGAAACTATTTTTTCAACTTTCGACTTGCATTTTTATTTTATTGATTTATTCCTTCATATAAACACACATTAACACCGAATATCGATCATTAATAATTCGATCATACACTACAGATATATATATACAATCCGTTCAGTCATTTATTTAGACATTGTGAACTTTTCACATGATTCTCAATTAATTGATTCGTGTTATTCTATTTACTAAGGTAAACATGTAATTATGATTGGATGGTGGATGTGTCATTCAATTTCGTGGATTGGTTGAAGTTAGATATTAACACCGTTGGATGCTGGCACAGTGGTCTAGGGGTTAAGCGCTCGAGCGCGAGACTGATAGGTCCTGAGTTCGAATCGCATGAGGCGAGGTTGAGGAGTCCCACAATAGGATGAAACGGCCCTCCAGTGCCTCCAGGTTTTCCATGGTGGTCTAGCTTCAGTTTACTCATTATCTCAACCATTGAAATTACAATAATATTCACAAAGACCCCTCAAATATGATTTGATTAGCACAGGATTGTCAAACGGTGTTTATTTCTTTAATGATTTCGATTATTACCGTGAAGAACTGCAGACAAGGTTGTTGAGTAGTAAATTTGGATAAGTGTTAAAGGATTAAAAAATTGTATTTATTAAAAATCGTTTAAGTGGAGACAACAAAAGGGGTATCGATTTATTGCGTTGGAGGGTGACCAGTGCAAGAAAATTGATTGTGGAGATTGTTGAATTTTTATTGAAATCATAAGTTAGTATGAATGAAATAACTAATAAAAAGTAGTAAATACTGGATAGTTATTTGTTCTAAATATCGAACTACTTGGTTGTGAATATCCATGCTTCTACCTCCTATGACCGAACTTAAGACGTTCAGCTTCGTTTGCGAACGCTTAACCTATGATCGCAATCTTAGTCAAAATTTATTAGTCATTTCATCCCTTGTACTGACACATCATTTTCTCACTAGTGGCTAACTGTGATAAAATATTTCCGAAATTCTAATAAGAAGCTACGGGGTTTACTGGTATCGAGTGTGAGGAAGGTATATATTAAAGAAAATAAATGGTTGTGAGATGTAGTGGACTGATTAAAACCCGAATTTTACAACAATACCTTCCATTTTTATAGTCTAGACGTTAAGCACTCTCATGAGACACCGAAGGTCCTAAATTCGACCACCTGTATCAAGACGTTAGGTTCACACGACTGGAAAGTCACACACTCGGTGGAAACAGCTGTCCATTGCTTCTAAATTTTCAGTGATTATCTAATTTAGATCTGTTTTACAATCTCAAGAATATATAAATATATTTAATTAGCTTAAATTCAAAACTGAAGGAATTGCTAAGTATCAGTCAATTACAAAATAGATACTATAACATAAAGCCAATATACTTTGTCATTCATATATATATAAACAGATGTTAATTTTTACAATCACAACGATAGTGTTATTTGGACTAGAGTAGAAGTATCAAAACTCTTTACAACTTCTTGACGTTTACAACCGCTTACACAACTCAACTTGAGTTAAGAATCCAGTTTTTTAAGAGCTCAGAATAAATGTTCTATTTCAGCATAACCTATTAATCTCTATACTTATTTCCATTATAGTTATAATTTAAATTCTTTCTATATATTTCATCTAGTTCATGTTAATTCATAGAGTCAGAAGAGGTTTTGTGGAGACTTTAGAAATTCCAATAGTTGAAATTATGAGTCAGTTGAAGCTAGACCACCATGGAAAACCTGGAAGCACTGGACGGTCCTGTCGTTGTGGTACGGAAGTCCTCAATAGTGCGCATCCACGATCCAGCCCCCCCCACGAGATTCGAACCCAGGACCTATCAGTCTCGCGCGCGAGCGCCTAACCAATAGAACACTGAGTCGACATCGCGGGGGCGAGATCGTGAATGCGCACTGCTGAGGAGTCCAACAACAGAACGGAACGGCCTTCCAGTGCATCCAGGTTTCCCATGGTGGGCTAGTTTCAATTGACTCATGACTTCTACTAGTGAAATTCATAGTGTCAACATTTGAAATATAACATAATTCATATTCTAACCTGTGAATAACTTTCAAATGAATTCCAATTAATTCAGTTGTAAATTTAGCTATATACTCTTGATAGGGATATAAATCACGCTAGTTACTTATTCCAAAATAACATGTTTAGTTTTCTATTGAATTATAAATATACAATTGAATATAGTTGAGATATCAAATCCAATAATCCTGCTTGTAACAATATGATTACTACACTGAATAAATTACTGGGGCGCGTTAATGTTACGTCCTTGATCTGCCTACCCACTTTTGGTGTGGAGAATACTTATCTAATCCAGATTAAGACCTTGGCGCGATAGACTGATCGACCCAACCTTGAAGCTAGTACGCGTAGTTCGAAGTGGGGTAGAGAGAAGGAAGCTATTCTATCACCTGATTGGTTGACGCGAATGATAGAAGACAGAAAACTGGAACACTACTCTATCTATTCCCAATATCCTGATTTCAGATTATTGTAAAAAGGTACATGAATAAATAGATGACTAACCCGACCACAACGTACAATAATTAGGAAAATACAATTATGTCCAAAACTGGGGATTAATGTAAAAAATAAGGTACAAAACATTAATGTTTAAATAACAATAGCTTTGAAACAAAAAGGTCTATGGCAGTGAATCATACATCAAACGAAAGCTTATGTTCTGTAGAATAGACTAGAGAAAAAAAAATAAATGTTAGTGTTTTACAAGCTTTGCATAAAATGAAATAACGTTCCGAAAAGAATAGCTTCAGTACTTTGTCAAGCCTTCTTGCTTCTCTGTTCACATCAGTTAAGTATCAGGATACATTGTTTTTGAATACATAAAAGGGGGTATAAATTTCCATATATCCAAAATTTCATTAAACCTTACTTAATTAACATTATTTTTTCTTTTAATAGTGTTAAGAATGAAATACTTTTTTTAAAATTTAATCTAAACATACATATGGTAATGAATAGATAGATAATTTAAATGATTTGATTGGCTGGAACGATATATATTTGGGTGTATCAATTTTATCTTTAAATTCCCATACATGTTGCTAAGGCATCATAGAAACAACAATTGAACTTGTGTTAAAACAACATTTGGACACTATATTTCCAAAATATAAAATAATGATAGTGATATGACAATAGTAATTTAAGACATAAACCGTTGGGGATAGATTATCTTATTAACCATCGTAAGTATACAGTTCTATATTAAATATTAAAACCATTTTTTTCATATTATCATTGAAACATTAGATATGTCTAATATTATTTTTGGATTTTGTGAACAGTTAAGAGATTAGTAATGTGAGATATACTTTATAATTCAATTATTTATATTTGAAAATGTAAATAATGATACTAAAAGGCAATGAATACATGTGCGCTACACAAGTCATTTGATTTATGTATGGGTTATGATACTGCCAGGGTGCTCAGACCGAAACAGGTGTTTTCCTAAAGGTCTGATTGACAAACCAATGGAGCAACTTCAGGAGATGCAGTCCTATATTCGTTTGTGTTCAATGATTGGTTCATACGCCATTTGTTCCTTCAAGATACTGGAGCCTATGTTCATGATTGGTTTGGAATCAGGGTTTTCCAACTCACTTAGGTGGACTCTTCGTGTCCACCAACCCGGTTAAAGCGCCGGACATTCGCTTCTCGTTCTTTGAATTTCGTAAATAAAAGCCGTGGTGCGAGAAGGCAGTGAGTAGGACTTCTGTATTAATGGCTGTATACGCGTGGTAATGTGAGAGCATTTAGAGAGGGATGGCTAACTCTTTCCACCTTCGGCCATACCAGAGCATTTGGTTGTTCATAATTCTTTTACATCTAGTTATTACAGAGTTGAATACTAGATCTCTCACGATCATAACATACTTAACAGTAAACTCAACAACACCATCTACATATTGATTCTGTATATTTCATATTACTGTCTTGATGAAGATCTTCATGAAAAATTTCAGAGAGAAAATTATTGACTCTATTCTTCATAAATATAATTAATAAAATCTTATGGTTGTTCGATAAACATAATGATGGAAGTAGCTAATGTTGAACAAATCTATTCTTATTCTACTAGTAAGAACTGTTTTTACTGTTAATTATGTACTATGCATGAACTGATAAATAACACTAGTACACAATAGAGCGAATATATATATATATATATTTCTGAGTATACCCTATCAAAATGTACACAGTAATACATCATTACTCACTTTCTCTTATTCATATTAAAATATTTGTATCTGAAAAAATTCGATAATTCTAATAATCAGGCTGTAGGACAAAGTAATAGTTGCCAATCTAATGTATATAATTTTAAAAATGAGTAATATTTAATGCTCAATACTGAATGTAAGAGCACAAAAACAAACAAACGAACAAATAAATAAACAATTTATTCATGAAATAATACTGAAATGAAATGAATTCATTACTATTGTATTGTTGTTGTTGTTGTTGTGGTCTTTGGATCAATTATACGAATACATGGTATATACTTGGATTCACCAATGATCATTTGAATAAGTAATAAGGTATTAAAATTAATGAATGCAATGGCGTAATGTAATACTCTCTCACTCTCTCTCTCTCTCTCTCTCTCTATATATATATATATATATATATATATATATATATATATATATATATCGACCGAAATGTACACCATTCATTTCAATTTCAACAGAATCATTCTATAGACCAAGGTATGGGTAATGTAAACTTAATATATTCAAAGAAAAGATTGTTGTTACGTGAATATTTTCTCAACTAGATGACATGAATGCGTTATAATGTGGCTTATGATATTTCACTAATGAAAGACTGTAATCAGTGATTGTTATCAGTGCTTTAATGACTGTTTTACAATTTTCAGATAATATCGCACATTTCTGATTATCAATCTTTATAACTGACGTCCAATCACTTCTGTAATAAACATCATGCGTGAAAGTTTTGATATAGTTGTACGAAGTGATAAATATACATTGACAGTCAAATTGTTGTACAGTGTTTCAATTATTCTATTGATCATATGGTTGATCAACATTTTACCAAGTCTTTTTCAATGGAGAATCAATCAAGTCGATCATGATGTAATACCTAAAACAATAGAATTTTCGTGCAATAATATATCTGTTCTAAACGGGTCAGAATCAGATCTTGCTAGTATATTACACAAAATATATTCCCCTATCAGTAAAACATCCGTTCAAAAATACCCACTGAGATATAGTCTGGAAGAAAATAGACTTGAGAAATTATATGATTCATTGGGTGTGAATAAGACGGTAAGTCAACTATTAGAAATATTATTTGATGTTGAATAGACTGACTGTCTTCTAATTAACTGATCCTTACTAATTATTCATTGATATTTCAAAATGATCGAGATTATGTGTGCAAAATATTTGTGTACATTGTTCAATTTCACAGTAGTTTACGTCACAGTGATCCACTCACCACCAGGTCTGTTGTTGAATCATCACAGAAACTTTGGTTGAGAGATGATGTTTGTAAGTGGAATGTGTATGGTGAGATATATGAGGAGTTGAAGACACGTTCTTCAGATGTTTCTGGATGACAAGCGTGAAATGACGTCCATTTCAAACTCTCCATCAAATTGATGCTCACATCTCGTGTTCGTTTCATTCAAATGGCATCAATTGCATGAATGACATCAGTAATAAAACTTGCCATCCTTACTAACCATAAGGATACATATCATTGATAGAAAGGTTGTATATTATCCCATTGTTTATAATCTTGTATGAATTTTGATAAATCTCCGATGGAAAGGACCTGGAATCCTAGTTTACATTGCTGCTCACAACTATATCCATTCCATAAAACATTTGGACATATACCGTTCACTTGGATATGAGATTGACGAAATCATATTTTGTGCGTTTGATTACTGAACTATTTATAAAATAGATGTTAGATATGATGCTCAATAAATTGTGAAAATCAACACATGAATTTGTATCAACTCATGTTTCAGGTGAAGACGTTTCTCAACTATGGGCATCGTACAATTTTTAGACCAATGAACTTTTCAAAATGTCATGCTTCAAAATGTGCAGTTATCACTGACATGAACAGATGGCGAGAAGCTGATGCACTTATACTGACAGAAGATAAAGTGCCAAATGGAATTCGACCTCCAGAGCAATTATGGTTTAGTTTAATAGAAGAGTCGCCTGTACATATTGCTATGGCAGGTACACTGGAAAATGAAGTGAGTAATTCTGACCATAGTAATATTACTAATCTTTATCATTTCATTACGGTTGTATGTAGCTGACGAGGACTACAAAGTGTGAATAGATTCGTGTTACTCAACGAATAATGTCACCATTCTTCATTTTGACCCACGAAATGGACTAATTGTGTGAAGTTTATGAGTTCCCATAAAACACATACCTATGCGTCGCTTAAACATCACTCGATTATTCATTCACCTCCAGGATCATTCACCAACCAATTAGCTTGTTTTCGATTAGCGAACGTATAATATGTACGCCTTCATTTAGATCAGTAAATACCATTTGATTGAAAATTTCTTCAATATGTTCAGAATATAGATATAAAGGAGTGATAGTCAAATGATACTCGAAGTATATTTTCATTCTACAGAAAACCGACAGTTTCCAAAATATTATTAACCACACTATTAGAGGATATTCTGATATATCTATGTAATATGCCACAAGGCATATTACCTGTAGTTAGGATTTAATAGGTACAGATTCTAAACCCAAAAAAACTTAGACAGCATCGTTCTTTGGCTGCGTTCAAGACATTTTCGGGAGTTTACTTTATTCGAATCCTTATACTAACATTTATTTGTTAACAGTAGATTTCACTGTTGACGTAGATACATTGAGCAAGTGATCTGTATGCTTTGTTCATTATTCATTGTTATATATATGCCTAATATCCGCTTAAACTAATCAGTAAAAACCTGTCGTAAATACTTTCGACGTGTCATTCATGTCACCATTATCGGGTTGATTTTCTATCATTTCGTTTGCATCTATGCAACTAATTGACACAAATGGATCCGCATAATGAATGGACTGTTAGAGATTTCGATTTGTCCACATGAATCATAGATGTCACTAATTACATATGTCATGTTTATTCACGAGCAAGACTAATCTACTTGTAAATATTCCTTTATTTTGGATACAATACACAAACTCTTACCTTTGAAAACCAGGAAGCACTGAACAGATATTTCATCTTAGTAAAGAACTCTTGAGCATTGTAAATACACCACCACACCAGAGGTCGTGATCAAAACACTCAGGTCTGTACCGTTAATCTATAATCCAAAACGACAAAACTAAACACTACCCACGAACCACTTTACTAAAACATTATTCTAATATCAAAACTACTAACTTGCTCATTCATTTCAATATCCATGATATCATTTTACTTGAATTTATCCCTCTGATATCAAGATTAATTACACTATCTCCTTCCGTCTGGATTCAACGATTTACTCACCATACGGTTCCTATGAGCCATACAAGAAGCACCATGGACCAGAAACACGATATCCTTTACCTTCTAGAAACTTCGCTACTGGGAAATCAAAGAAAGTTGCATGGTTTGTGAGTAACTGTATACCGAAAAGTCCAAGAATGCAATACGCCAAAGAACTTTCACGATATATCCCGGTGAGTTTGACAAAGCTTAGCATTGAGTTTCTAAATGTTTTTCAATGATCTCAGTGAGACCAACAATTGATGAAAGACTAAATGCATACAGCATGAAGCATGCAACTTTTGTCGCTCGGAACTAATTCGTGATGAGAGTGATTTTCATGTTATTAATCATTTCTTCTGACATGATGATAAAAGTGATTGGAAAGTTGATTGGATCCTGTAGGTTCAAATGAAGGAGAAACGAACTAATAATGATTGGAATATAATGAAACAAGGTCTACTGAAATTGTCTTGATTGATTCAGAGCAATGCGTAAAGTATATATCATCAGTGTACTATTCCCATATCTGCACGATTGTGTGTTCTATCATTGTGTTGACAACAGGTCTCCATCTCTGAAACTCCGACTTCTCGATCACGCATGCGTTCTCGATGGAGTTCAAGCACTGATTCTTTAGCAGTACCTAATTTCCAGCATGTAGCAAAATAGATAAACACATATAAGGCCCTCAAGCACTCAATCTTTAGCATTGCTCACTTTCACGGTCTTTTGAGCGAGGTTTCGTAGTTACTGATTGGTCATATACTGTTGATGTTTAACGACCAGTGAAGGTGTTTGATTTTATAACGATGTATGTTCATTACTAGAATTTATAATCAATATCACCAACTATGAATATTTGATTGTCTTTCACTTCATTGAGAATTTATCCTATAAATGTACAAGTTGGTTAGTCTATACATATAAACAAATGAGCATCTCAGAAATGTCAGGGATAGTGCTCAGATTGAAGATGATTTCATCGAATCTCCAGTTTGTAGGTAACTGTATCACTGGATCAATATAACTACATGTGACTATTCCTTAAACTGATCTCACAAGATTGCCAATCCAGGTATTCTTAAACCATACTCATTGATCACTGACTTTTATGTCCAAGTGTTATATGCATGTACATGAGTGAGCTCACTGTGTTCATGATGGGTATTTAGAAATGCTGAATACAGAAGTGCTGCTGTTGATGTGTCCATAGTTAGGCCGAAATGGCTGTGCAGTGCTCTCACGTTTTCAATGATGTTCTAGTTTAGATCTGCTTACAAACTCAACTATTAAAATTTTAGGAGGAAACTGATCGTTTTATCAAACATACGCACAGTGAATTCGATGCGGTTACCAGCTTCATCGTTAAAACATGTAATTTATCTGTTCCATAGTTCACCGATTCATTTTCTATTTTCAGCTTGATATTTATGGTCATTGTGGCACGTTATCCTGTCCAAAGTATAATCCGACTTTTACCTCATCAGACAGCTGCTTGAAAATGATTCGCGAAAATTACAAGTTTTATTTGAGCTTCGAAAATAGTTTGTGCAGTGAATACATAACAGAGAAGTTGTATAAAAATGCATTAAAGTAAGTGGTTTGGTATTAATCTTGCATTATAGTGTAATCAAAGTCATCAATTTATTTATGTGTGCATAATCATCGTCTCAAATTGTCATGTTATTTCAGAAAAACGAAATGAAATTGGCAGAGTGAACTGCAATGGATTACATTGATGTTGGTTTTAGTGATAGGCGGCAACTCATAGTCATCCAGCACTTACTTATTTACTTACTTACTTACTCACTTACGCCCGTTACCCTTCGTGGAGGAGCATATGCCAACCACCACCATTCTCCATCCAACTCTGTCGTGGACAATCCTTTCCAGTTCTTTCCACTTGCTATTCATCCTTTTCATATCTGCTTACGATTGCCGACGACGCGACTACTTCGGTCTTCCTCCTTTGCGTTCACATTCACGATTCCAAATTAGTGCTTGTATCGTGATGCAGTTTGGTGATTTCCTCAATTTATTTCCTGTCTACCTTCATCGTCTTTTCCTTATTTCCTCTTCAGATGTGAGCTGGTTTGTTCTCTCTCACAGTAAGTTATTGCTGATGGTATACACTCAACGGACATTGAGTATTTTGCATGGACAATTGTTTACAAATACTTGTACGCTTTTGATGATGATTGTGATAGTTCTCGAAGTTTCTGTCTTGACGTTCATATTGACGATTCTGACTTTGATATTGTTTGGCAGTTGTTTTCAGTTCTATACGTTCTTTACCTTTACATAGTTGCAGACAAATAAGGATTCTTCAATGTGAAATAGATTTCAGTGAGGTCTTCTGAAGATGTTTAACAGCATATTATACATAATATAAAATGAGGGATCTAATGCTCAATACTCTGAATAAACTTCACATTAGAGAAGGGAGAATATGAGAAGTGCATGACACATCTTATTTGAGCACGTTGACAGGTATCCTCAAATACTAAACGTGATAGTGCTCGATCAATTTTTTGTATAACCAGTCCCACAAAAATGTTATGTTTTATGGCCTGTCAAGTACCAGGCAACTAAAACGCCAGTTAAAATACTTATTTCTATGACATTGTTTCTGTGCTAAACCAATGATACTTCATGTAGCACTAGGAGCCCTGAGTCAAATATGAGTCCTTATTGGTCATCTTCATAACAAATTCTCACCGAGACCAGCTCGTCTAGTCCAGAACAAAGATAGCAGCCCCTACTGTGTGTTTAAATGTTGTTGCAATATTATTAGAGGCCAAGTGTTCTCATTAGGGTGAAGTCCTCACATTTAATTTGAAATCCTCAATGAAATAGAATAAACTAGAAATCTTGAATTAATTTGTGAATTATAATTTTTTGGTGTGTGTGCCTTCTTTGCTTAGTATTTCTAATTAAGCTTGCACTTTTTCTGCCTAATATATATCAGACATACGTGGTTTATATACAAGCAGAACAAAACGCATCACACTGTATTAAGAAAAATAATAATTACACGGGATCAAGCAAAATGTGGCTGTGATTGTGGGATATTGTAACAAATAAATTGAGAATAAGTTAAGAATGGTTGAACGTATTGCAGTAGCAAATTTGTCAAACGAAACCTTATGATAAAAGAAACCTGAATGTACATAATATATATATAATCTGGTTACTTAATAATTATCTAATAAGAATATATGCAATATTAAATGGACGGTGGTTAGCAGTGGAATCCGCGATACGCGTTCCATCATACTCGGTGATCCTCAGCTAAATGTATCTGAATCACCCAGTTGATGTTCACTCATGGAATCGAACCCAGTACCGTGCGCCCCTAGATTCACTACTAGCCTCCATCCATCTCTGCTTATAATGCTTGAGACAAAAAGCAATATCGAGGCAATCTTCACAGGATACACATATGTCAATTAGAGACTAATCAATGTCAGTCATAAACATCAATGGAACGATTCAAACAAACAATACCAAATTCAATATGTAGTAATAGTCTATAAATAATTCCTAGCAGTTACCAATGTGTATTGAGCAATCATAGTCCATATGTTTCCATATCTGTCACGTCAAAATAAAACGGTGAAACTGGTTAAAACTGAAATCTCATCTCCATCGTTCTGTAAGTTGAAATTTTGACATTTTCAATGTATATACATATTTTTGCGAATGTTCACGGTTCACTTGCATGATGAGATTTCGATAAGTGTTTAACAAATTGCAAACTTATTATTCATTCCAAGAAACGACCTACTTCCAATTGTGATGGGTGCATCGATAGAGGAATATGAAAGAGTCGCTCCTCCATACTCGTTCATTCACGTTGATCAATTCGAATCACCAGCTAAACTGGCAGACTATTTGAAGTATTTGGACAAGAACGATACTGCATATAATGAATATTTTGCATGGCATGGTCATGGAATCATACATGATTACGATGCCCAACCTCAATGTGCAATGTGTCTGCTAGCTCATACATCTCATTCATTTGGTCCCTATTGGGTTCCGCGTGTGGCACGATGGTGGAATGATGGATGTAATGGTCGGAAATTGCGTTGGAATCCATGAAACATGAATATTGAGAACAGAAACATTGTTTTATTGTAGATTGTATTGAATTGTAATGTACATAGTGCTTTCTGTGGTATAGATCAAATTACATTTGAAAATGAATAACATTTTACACATAATAACAATACTGATATTTTTCATGAAAACAGTTGTCACGTTAACTCAGACGATTTCATATGGAATAATTATCGAGCAACATAATGCTGTACACTATTCACAAATGATTGTAATATGATGATGAGAAAGGTATAAATGTTCATAATAGAGAAGTATTGGTAAGGAAAATAACGAAAATTGGATTTGAGGGAGGGAAAGTATTATCTTTTCATATTAACTTTCCATCCTAACTTTCGACCAATTTTAATATCAATACCATGGGAATTAATAATTAACACCGTCTGAATTGTAGTTTCAACTGATTCACGTGAATATAAATGAGTTAATAATTGGACATAAGTAAATTTTAGTCAGTTGGTTAATGGCAAAACATAGTCGTGTAAATGAATGGACAATAATATCAAAGGGTTTTTTGATTAGACATGTATAGTTTCACAATTGATTGATCACTGAGTGGTGATCAATATCATGTGTGTCAGGTACTTCCGAGTGCAGATCGGATGATATCGACCAAATTACAATGTGGCCAGCAGTCTAGGTGACTCAACATTGCGTGCACTATGTTGAGATAAGATGATCAGATTGAAGAATCTGTGAGAACCCCTTATAGATGTAAATGTGATAATTTAAATGAATGATATAGAAAGGGATTATTTACTCGACGTAATATACGCTATGTGACTGAAGGGTAGTGATGTTACTTGGATGGCTAGAGAGTAGATCGTGCATGAGCGTTTCGAACACGTGACACAATGTCACTTATGTTGAGTAGGATATGATTCTTGTAGTCAATGTTGACTAAACTACTAGAGAGACAAAGTCCTAATACTTTGTCTGTTCTTTGTTCACCCATAAAATTCAAAATTTTGCAATGGCATCAAGTCGCTCAGTTCTGCATCACGTGAGTAGTCAAAAGTGTGTGGAGAAAACAAGTTTCAAAAATCAATCTTCGTTACCTAGATAGTTATCGTGAATATGATACTCTTTGTTCTTTCTTAAAACATTTCTCTGAAGTTGTGTTACGTTTTCATCGTCTTCGTCAATTATAAATTAGAGTTTTACCTTCGTTTCCGAATAGATTTAAGATGACATGAATGGCACAATCGCTAGTTCAGGAAATCATAATTAAAACTACAGGTCATCTACAGAGAGACCAGTGAGTGCATAAATTGTGACGAAACGGACACTTATCAATCCTCTACTAAGTATCAGGGACAATGATTATATAGTTTACTTGAATATCTGACGATTGATTCGTCTCGTGATAACTGTTACATTGGTTTGGCAGTATAACACATATTTAATGAGTCTGGAAATTTTCCCAAACACATTTTCCCATGTGATTCACTGGAAAATGTGGCGAGACTCTAATTTAGGGACGAGCCAATCAGAGGCGTTTGAGCAATTTCAATTATTAGCCAATCAGAAGACAGTATAAATTAAAAATATATTATAAGGAAGTAATGAATTACCGTGGATATTCCTCTTTTATATGATTTGAAAACGTGTTAAGGTTTGATAAAGGTTCAGAGGTTGTGAATTCATAATGCATACGGTATAGAAACTCGTTCAAATGTTAGGGTTAGGGTTGGGGTTGAGGGTTAGGGAGTGGAGTTAGGGTTGTAGCCTAGGGTTAGGGTTGGGGTTTAGGGTTAGGGTAAGGGTTAGAGTGAGTGTTACGGTTAGGGTTGTAGCCTCTCAATAAACACCTCTTCTCTAAAATCTGTTGTAAACCGATCGTATGTTAGCATCCTAACCCTAACGCTAACCTAACCTCAACCTTCACACTAAACCCTTAACCCTAAACCTAACCCTATGGAGGAGTTTCCATACCATATGCATTATGAACTCACAACTTCTGAACCTTCATCAAACCTTAACAAGCCTTTAAATCATGTAAAAGAAGAATATCCGCTGTAATTCATTACCTCCTTATAATATATTTTCACTTTATACTAACTGCCTGCTTGTCCAGCTTAAGTGTCCAAAGATGGAATTTAGAATTGAGAGCTCATTTTTTCATCATTGACATTAGAGTGCTGAGAGCGTACCATATGCAAACTTCCTAACATGTTATTCTTAGCTCGAGAAACTATCTAATAAGAGTGGTTGTTTGTTAGTTCAACCAGTGCCTGTTAATCAGCAGTTGATGACAATATGACAAATTAAATGCTTATTAGGTTATCAAATAATTCTCCTTATACAAGCATAGTCACTCATTTCACTGGTTGAACATTTGAGAAGTTACTATTAATGAGCCAACAATTGGTTGATCCCTGAGTGGTAGCCGACAGCATATGCTGATCGGATTTCATCGATCGAGTTACAATATTACTACTAGTCTAAGTGACCAAGCATTAGAGTCATTGAAATTAATGTACTGGTTGTACGCTACAATGGAAAATAAGTTGAAATACATGATGATCGATTGAATTATGTTTTACACTACGATGTTTGAAATAAGGTAAACTCGTTTATACCACTGGAATTTATTTAGAGTGAATTTATCAGAAGAGGTTTTGTGGAGATGTTAGTAATTTCACTATTTGAGACCAAGAGTCAAATTTATCTGGACAACCATGGAAAACCTGGAAGCACTGGACGGCCGTTTCGTCCTGATAGATCCTGGGCGAGAAATCGAGACGGACGTGAGAAGAATAAAACGTGTACAGCTTGATAATAAATTCGTTGAAAAGAGATCCCTTCACAGAACTTCGTGTTTTAATTTTAATGTTTAAATGGGAATTATCTGTCAATTGAAAAATGTCGCATTTTCCAGGTGAACAAAGAACGGACAAAGTATTAGGAATTTGTCTCTCTAGTAGTTTAGACAACACTGACTGCAAGAATCATATTCCACTCAACATAATTATTACTTTGAAAAGTGACATTGTGTCACGTGTTCGAAACGCTCATGCACGATCTACTCTCTAGCCATCCAAGTAACATCACTACCCTTCAGTCACATAGCGTATATTACGTCGAGTAAATAATCCCTTTCTATATCATTCATTTAAATTATCACATTTACATCTATAAGGGGTTCTCACAGATTCTTCAATCTGATCATCTTATCTCAACATAGTGCACGCAATGTTGAGTCACCTAGACTGCTGGCCACATTGTAATTTGGTCGATATCATCCGATCTGCACTCGGAAGTACCTGACACACATGATATTGATCACCACTCAGTGATCAATCAATTGTGAAACTATACATGTCTAATCAAAAAACCCTTTGATATTATTGTCCATTCATTTACACGACTATGTTTTGCCATTAACCAACTGACTAAAATTTACTTATGTCCAATTATTAACTCATTTATATTCACGTGAATCAGTTGAAACTACAATTCAGACGGTGTTAATTATTAATTCCCATGGTATTGATATTAAAATTGGTCGAAAGTTAGGATGGAAAGTTAATATGAAAAGATAATACTTTCCCTCCCTCAAATCCAATTTTCGTTATTTTCCTTACCAATACTTCTCTATTATGAACATTTATACCTTTCTCATCATCATATTACAATCATTTGTGAATAGTGTACAGCATTATGTTGCTCGATAATTATTCCATATGAAATCGTCTGAGTTAACGTGACAACTGTTTTCATGAAAAATATCAGTATTGTTATTATGTGTAAAATGTTATTCATTTTCAAATGTAATTTGATCTATACCACAGAAAGCACTATGTACATTACAATTCAATACAATCTACAATAAAACAATGTTTCTGTTCTCAATATTCATGTTTCATGGATTCCAACGCAATTTCCGACCATTACATCCATCATTCCACCATCGTGCCACACGCGGAACCCAATAGGGACCAAATGAATGAGATGTATGAGCTAGCAGACACATTGCACATTGAGGTTGGGCATCGTAATCATGTATGATTCCATGACCATGCCATGCAAAATATTCATTATATGCAGTATCGTTCTTGTCCAAATACTTCAAATAGTCTGCCAGTTTAGCTGGTGATTCGAATTGATCAACGTGAATGAACGAGTATGGAGGAGCGACTCTTTCATATTCCTCTATCGATGCACCCATCACAATTGGAAGTAGGTCGTTTCTTGGAATGAATAATAAGTTTGCAATTTGTTAAACACTTATCGAAATCTCATCATGCAAGTGAACCGTGAACATTCGCAAAAATATGTATATACATTGAAAATGTCAAAATTTCAACTTACAGAACGATGGAGATGAGATTTCAGTTTTAACCAGTTTCACCGTTTTATTTTGACGTGACAGATATGGAAACATATGGACTATGATTGCTCAATACACATTGGTAACTGCTAGGAATTATTTATAGACTATTACTACATATTGAATTTGGTATTGTTTGTTTGAATCGTTCCATTGATGTTTATGACTGACATTGATTAGTCTCTAATTGACATATGTGTATCCTGTGAAGATTGCCTCGATATTGCTTTTTGTCTCAAGCATTATAAGCAGAGATGGATGGAGGCTAGTAGTGAATCTAGGGGCGCACGGTACTGGGTTCGATTCCATGAGTGAACATCAACTGGGTGATTCAGATACATTTAGCTGAGGATCACCGAGTATGATGGAACGCGTATCGCGGATTCCACTGCTAACCACCGTCCATTTAATATTGCATATATTCTTATTAGATAATTATTAAGTAACCAGATTATATATATATTATGTACATTCAGGTTTCTTTTATCATAAGGTTTCGTTTGACAAATTTGCTACTGCAATACGTTCAACCATTCTTAACTTATTCTCAATTTATTTGTTACAATATCCCACAATCACAGCCACATTTTGCTTGATCCCGTGTAATTATTATTTTTCTTAATACAGTGTGATGCGTTTTGTTCTGCTTGTATATAAACCACGTATGTCTGATATATATTAGGCAGAAAAAGTGCAAGCTTAATTAGAAATACTAAGCAAAGAAGGCACACACACCAAAAAATTATAATTCACAAATTAATTCAAGATTTCTAGTTTATTCTATTTCATTGAGGATTTCAAATTAAATGTGAGGACTTCACCCTAATGAGAACACTTGGCCTCTAATAATATTGCAACAACATTTAAACACACAGTAGGGGCTGCTATCTTTGTTCTGGACTAGACGAGCTGGTCTCGGTGAGAATTTGTTATGAAGATGACCAATAAGGACTCATATTTGACTCAGGGCTCCTAGTGCTACATGAAGTATCATTGGTTTAGCACAGAAACAATGTCATAGAAATAAGTATTTTAACTGGCGTTTTAGTTGCCTGGTACTTGACAGGCCATAAAACATAACATGTTTGTGGGAACTACTATGAAAATGAGCAATGTACACAATTATTTTGCACACACAATCTCGGTCATTTTGAAATATCAATGAATAATTAGTAAGGATCAGTTAATTAGAAGACAGTCAGTCTATTCAACATCAAATAATATTTCTAATAGTTGACTTACCGTCTTATTCACACCCAATGAATCATATAATTTCTCAAGTCTATTTTCTTCCAGACTATATCTCAGTGGGTATTTTTGAACGGATGTTTTACTGATAGGGGAATATATTTTGTGTAATATACTAGCAAGATCTGATTCTGACCCGTTTAGAACAGATATATTATTGCACGAAAATTCTATTGTTTTAGGTATTACATCATGATCGACTTGATTGATTCTCCATTGAAAAAGACTTGGTAAAATGTTGATTAACCATTGAAGAATCTTGGTTAAATGATTTACAGGATGACTACCTAGTATCACTAAGTGATTTCGAAATTTATCGTCAGGACCGATCAAACAATAGAAAGAGGTGTGGTGGCGGTGTAGCTACGTTTGTAAACATAAACTGGTGTCGATCTTCGTTTGTGTGTTTTAAGTTCTCAAATGACTTTATCGACTGTCTAACTCTAAGATGTCGTGCAAGACATCTGAATAAATACAAATATGTTTATGTTACTAGTATCTACGTGACTCCAGACTGCACATCATCTGCGCTATGCGTTTTCGCTGGTGAATTTACTGAGTTCGTGGTTACTGCCTTCAGTGATTCACTATCAGTTGTATGTGATGATTTCAATTTATGTGACTGCAGCTTCCTTACGTCACTAGGTCACCAAAATGTGGTAGATTTTTCTACCCGTTTGGATGTTCACTTAGACTCCGTTTTCATTAATGATGTGGGTATATATGCGACTCGTAAACGTGCTCAATTGTCTAGCTCGGATCACTGTATGATTCGTGTTCTACCTAAATTAATATGGAAAGCATGGGAAGAGTACACTCTTACATCAAACCAAGAAAGTCAAATATAGGAATTACTCAGAAGAAAATATTCGAAATCTGAAAAACATGTTTCATACGACTAACTGAGAATTATTTACAGATGACTCACTGGAAATCACTACTGATGTTATCACTTGTTAACTTAAATTCTGTTTTGATATTTGTTGTCCCACTGAAACCATTTTTGTAAGTTTTGTTCGACTTACATTTTCACAACTAAAACGACTACGGAGGGTGAAAGAAAGAATGTACAAGGAGAAGAACTCTAATGAAGTTCGTAAGCTAAATGGTCTGAAAAACCTAGAGATTAGACGTCTCAACTCTATGTTTACTCAAAAACTCTTGTCTTGCGAAAACTCTCCAAGTATGTGGAAACTCTTTAAAGAACTTACAGGTAACAGACAGTTTAGGAGCGATAACCAGCTGAGTGTTTGTGACTTAAATAAGTCTTTCGTACGTCAGTCATCTGATGTGATGTTCCCTTTATCCACAGGTTTAAATAATAGCTGTGTTCCTAGTTGCACTGAAACTGATGTACGAAGATGTTTCCAGCCACTTAATTCATCTCGATGTTTGGGACCTGATGGTATCCCAAACATCCTTTTAAAAAAGTGTGCTGACGTCCTATGTTATCCGTTCACAACTATCTTTAACAGATTCTTCTCATCTTATCTCATACCGAAAATGTGGAGAAACATGAAAATAATTCCTGTACCCAAGAAAGCATCTGGTGATAAGAATGTAAAATTTAGACCTATTGCAATAACTTCACCCTTCCTCAAAACAATGGAAAAATTATTATTACTTCCACTTCAGACTGAGATAAAAGAACATATTGATCCGTATCAGTTTGCCTACAGATGCAAAAGAAGCACCTTAGATGCTGTTGCTGTTCTGAATCACAACATAGTGTTCAACTAAGAAAAGGGTACGATGTGCTTTTCTGGACTGTACTTCAGCTTTTGATTCTATACCAACACAAGTTAATCAGCGTCAACACTGACTGCTGGATAACCAACTGGCTATGTTCCTACCTCTCTGTAAGGGAACAGTACGCTGTATTTGGGGGAAAGTGTTCAGAGTCTCTACTGTTTCATGAAGGCGTACCACATGGAGCTGTTCTTTCACTTCTTCTTTTCTCATTTTTTCTGCATGATCTGCCATCTCCCACAGAAAACACTTTTGTGAAATATGCGGATGATCTCACTGTATGTATGCCTATCTCCAGTATTCAACTCTGTTATAACTAGATGTCAATGATTTATGAACTACCAAATGCGCTGGTATGGCCGAAGGTAGAAAGAGTTAGCCCTCCCTCTCCAAATGCTCTCACATGACCACGCGTATACAGTCATTGACACAGAAAACTTACACACTACCTTTTCGCACCACGGGTTTTGTTTACAAAATTCAAAGGACGGAAAGCGAATGTCCGGCTCCTTAACCGGGTTGGTAGACACGAAGAGTCCACCTAAGGGAGCTGGAAAACCCTGATTCCAAACCAATTTTGTACATTAGCTCCATGATCCTGAGGGAACAGATGGAGTACGAATCAATCGTTGGTCATTGGCTACCATGGGACTGCATCTCCTGAAGTTGCCCCATTGACTGTTGAATCAGGCCTTTAGGCCTGCCTCAGTCTGGGTACCCGGGAAATATCATAACCCACACACAAATCAAGTGATTCGTGTGGTGCATATGTATCCGGTGCCCTTTAGTACAAATATATTTGACTAATTAATACAGCATCCTTCATTGGTGTCATCTATGTTATATGTGGTTTGGAAAGGAATAGACATTATGGGTGGATTAAATCATTTATTAATCAATAACTGTCATATTCTCATTCAGTTCACATCGAAAACTTTGGTCCAGACTATTACCATTCACTAAGATATTCATAACTTCAGTTGTTAATCGTTCTTTGAACTGAACAACTGTACACAAGCGTCTTATCAGCACTTGTGGTCTGGTGTGTGACAAAATCTCAGCACGGATTCAGAACGCTCTACTGGCTTTTGCTAACTTGCGTCATTTATGGCGTAGGCGAGCTATCGTTCTATCAACCAAAGGACGGGTTTACTGAGCAGCAGTTCGTCCCGTCCTACCACATGGCAGTGAAACATGGTCAGTAAGTGTAGAGGATATTCGTAGGTTACTAGTATTCGATCATAGGTGTCTTCGAAACATTGCTCGTATATCCTGAGACCACCGAGTAACTAATGCAGTTGTTAGGAAACGGGTACTAGGTGAGGATGGCAAATCAATTGATGAAGTAGTAGAACTTGATCAGTCGAGATGGCTGGGACACGTGTTACGTATTCCCAACCACCGACTGCCACGACGACTGATGTTTTATGGTGTAGGAGAAGGTTGGAAGAAAGTTACAGGTGGCCTGACCAAAACATGGTACAAATCCATGAAGTCACTGACAAGTGGGCTGAGTTGAGTTGGTAAGTGTAAACTAACTGGTTGGGATCCACGACACGATAGCAACCGATGGCTAGAGACGTTGAATGACATGGCTGAAAATCGTTTGCAATGGCTCAAGTGCATCCACTCTTTGTGTTCTCCCGAATTCTAATCTTCTGAATTCGACAACTGCATCTCTGTATGGCAACTTAAACTGATATGGATTTTCCATGGTTGTCTAGCTTCAACTGACTCATGATTTCAATATGTGAAATTTCTAAAATCTCCACAAACCCCTTCTGATTAACGTAATATTGTAAATAATTGTATTTTATGAATTCCTAATAGAATGTTTACTC